GGTTGGATGGGGGTACCTGAAACCCCTTTCAGAAGCTTCAGCCACTTCAGCGGTTTCAGGTCCCCACCTGAAATTCCTGAAATGACCTGAAGTGGCTGAAGCTTCTGAAAGGGGTTTCAGGTACCCACATCCAACCATTTGGATGAGGGTACCTGAAACCCCTTTCTGAATCTTCATCCACTTCAGCAGTTTCAGGTCCCCACCTGAAATTCCTGAAATGACTTGAAGTGGCTGAAGCTTCTGAAAAAGGGTTTCAGGTACCCTCATCCAACCATTAGGATGGGGGTACCTGAAACACCATTCAGAAGCTTCAGCCACTTCAGCGGTTTCAGGTCCCCACCTGAAATTCTTGAAATGGCATGAACTGGCTGAAAAAAACAGGAAGAAAAAAAAAAAAAAAACATAAAACTTGTCCTCCAAACCACCCGAAACTTCTGAAATGACCTGAAGTGTCTTCAGGCCATTTCAGCGGTTTCAGACCACTTCAGAATCTTTCATTCTGAACTTTCAACTGGTCGTTAACCGCGAGTGGATGACTCACATATGTGTGGATGTTGACTTTGAGTTGGAACGCATTCTGAACTTTCATGAGGTTGGAACGCATACCTGGCAGCCCGGGATGGGCACCTTTTCATGATGGACCCGCAGACGACCACAGAACATTCGCCTTGACGTATGCAAAGGCGCGAGAACTTTACTACTGGGAAGGGATGAGTGAGATGATTCGCAAGTATTGCGAGTCATGTGTTCCATGTCAAATCAGGGCGTCGACTATGTACAAGGAATCATTGCACCCACAGATTGTACGTGATGCAGGGGTTGTGGTCCATTTGGACCTATTAGCAATGCCTCAGGGAGTGGGCGGCTACAACTACATCTTCGACGCACGGGATAATCTTACGGGGTTTGTCGATGGGCGAGCCATTCGCAGCAAGACAGCCGAGATGTTGGTTTTGTGCATCTCCGAATATTTCCTCAGATATCCTTTCGTAGTAGAAATCGTGATGGACAGGGGGTCAAAATTCACCTGTGGAAAAGTAAGAACCTTGTTGCAGGAGTATGGTGTTCAATCCAGCTATACAGCTAGTGCATATCCACAGGCGAATGCCCCAGTTGAAAGAGGACATACTACCATCACAAACCTACTAGCGAAATTGACAAATGGTAGGGAAAATCAATGGCCACCTGCGCGCAACCTTCTTTGCAAAGAATATCACGATTAAGAGATCCACGAAGTATGCGCCAACAATGTTATGGTATGGACGGCATGCCACACTCCTGATAGAGAGCTTTCTGAAGACGTGGAGGAGGCAGGATATGGAGAGCACCTTGTCCTTCGAAGAGTTACTGGATTTGCGAGCCAGACAAGTTGGCATCGCGGAAGAGAGGATCCGGGAAGCTGCAGATCGAGTAACGGATAGTCAGCTAGGGGACAAGGAGAGGTGGGATCTCCTCCCACGAGTCCGGAAGGAGCCATTGGAAGTCGGTGATGTGGTACTACCATACGACTCGTCGCTAGAAAAACAGTGGTTACGCAAGTTGGACAAACGGTGGCTAGACCCATATCGCATTAGACGGTGTGGGCAGCATGGAGCGTACGAGATTGAGGAGTTTAACGACACACCATGGAGAGATTGGGTCTCGGGTTCAAAACTAAAAAAGTTCAAGGCTTGAAACTAAGGTAAGGGTGACGGAAAACACCATAGATAAGGATAGTATCTAAACTCCTCGTCTTACTAGGTGGTACACTGCATTAGTGGTATGATAGGATTGCGTGTTAATATTTAGATAGGTCTTAGTATGAGTATTAGTTTGCCAGTTAGGTCAGTCGTCTGAGAGTATGAGAGATCTGCTTGGGTCAGTTAGTATAGGCATTCCCCTTCTTCTCTTGTGCTTACTTCTGTTTCCTCCATCGTCCGTCCTTCTTGTTTGTGCAGGGTTGATTTTTTGAAGTGGGCCACTATTTGGAGGGGCGGGAGGATGGCGGGACAGGGAGATGAGCGACTAGCCACGTCTTCGATACTGGAGCCATTTCGTTACGGGGGTGGACACGCATTTCCATTTTTGGACGGATTAGTTAGGCAGGTTTGGGTCCTTGGGTTAGATTTCGCTCAGATGACAGAGAGGGTTAGGGGTACTGGCAGCTATGAGGAGCGTGTGACTCAGATCGTGAGAGAGTCATTGGATTGGAGGCAGTTCGCCATGCGGATGCTGAGATTGCTGCCTCAGCCCATTGATCGACAGGGTAGGCCCATGCGGTTTGATGGGGCTAACCTGGATGAGTTCCTTGAGGCTTTCATCATTTTTGGGGATGGGTAGAGATGGACTGAGGCACAGAGGGTTAGGTAGGTACGACACTGGGTTGTCCCGGAGCTTAGACATGAGGTGAGTACCATGTCACACACAGCGCGGACTTGGGCGGAGCTTATAGCGACGCTTAGAAGGGCATTCACCGTTGGCAGACGACGGAGGCTGCGTAGAGAGGTTGGGGATTACATCCCGGAGCTCAGGGTACGCCTGCGAGCGCAGCTAGAGAGGGATGAGGACGATGAGGGACGATCGTGAGAGAGACAGAGAGAGAGTGAGCAGCCAGAGATCCCACGCAGGCCTAGGACAGGCAGACGCCGATGACGTCAGGATCGAGGGGATGATCTAAAGGAGCGTGATCACGTGTTGACGATTGATATTGAGAGGACCCTTTCGACAGATGATGTGGGGGAGGAGACATTACCAACAAGGTCTTAGAGACGAGGTGACTCATCTATCCCTGAGATTGGGACAGTTCCAGTACCAGAGACATGTCCGGCTGAGATATGGGTTAGAGACCGTGGTGCGCCTGAGACAGATGGGACTACTCCGCCTACACCCATACATGATGGGGAGGAGGCTTCCCTACAACTTGTGTTGACGATTGCTTTGGCCTGGCCTACAGAGACAGATACCATGGAGGGAGTGGTTCCCGGTACTGCATCAGAGAGGCCTTATCGATGGAGAGACACACGGGACATGACATTAGATCTCCCACAAAGGAAGCTACCGCTTATGATAGGGCCTGCCACTATAGTACCGATGCAGGAGCACGAGGAGCCTCAGCCTGAGTGGCCGCAAGGGACGACGCCGATGCATGATGAGCGAGGGTATGATGGGCAGAGGGTCCAGTCTCAGTTAGAGCCGACAGTGGAGGATGGTGAGACTCATCATTAGACGGATCGCCGTTTTTAAGCGAGAGTTGATTGACTTAGCGGCCTGAGGGTTCATTGACTGCCCAACTATATGATATGGAGTCTCCTAGGATGCAGGTACGACAGGAGGTATCCCAACCATCGGCCATGGATAGAGACAGAGCAGGTTAAGGCCGAGGTCTTGGGGTTAGACAGGGGGGATCCCACAGAGGGCATACGGACCCAGCGAGCGGGATCGTCACTTCTGGATTTTGGGGATACTCCTCGATGAGACGGTGATAGGAGTGAGGCCAGCATGAGGGGCCACGTTGAGGAAGGCCCGGAGCATACCCAGGACGCATCTCCGACTCATGAGGAGGGGAGCATGCCGGAGTCTCGGGGACCGATAGATCACGAGCCTGTCATGAGGGATGCATGGTTAGCCGAGGAGATGGGACGGATGCCATCATTACATTTTTCAGGCTGGCTGGCTTTTGAGTGACTGGGCCAGGCCGCGAGACCGCACTTGCCAGTTGATCAGACCGTTGGTGGGCTTATGGTACTGTATGATGAATTAACCTTGCAGAGGACCTATATTGGTAGTGACCTCGCAGCGACTCGACAGGTGACAGAGCAGGTTCGGGATTACACGAGGAGAGTTGCCATCTGATCCTTTGAGTTGAGTCGTGACAGAGAGACGGAGCACGATGCACTGAGAGAGGTGGTGAGTGATCTACGCATGTTTGTTTAGGGAAGGGAGGCACAGACTCTAGAGGAGGCTGAGGCGGTCATCAAGATTCAGGAGAGAGAGGCGAGTGATTGGCGAGCCCAGGTTCAGAGGGTGCTTAGGGAGTATGAGCCACCTGCTGATGCAACAGACAAAGATAGGCTCGAGCGCAGGGTTGTCCTTGAGATCGTGCGATCATCTCAGTTGGAGAGCCAGGTATCGACTCTTGTCAGGTTACGGCGAGAGACTGAGGAGCAGACACAGAGACTCCTCTATTAGGATGCGGCCACATTCGGATGGCAGGAGGAGGTTAGGATGAGGAGACGGACAGGAGAGGAACCTACGCCTGAGGGAGAGCGTATACAGGAAGAGGAGAGGCTTCAGGCGAGATTGTTATATGATGCCTCCGTGCGAGAGTTGGCGGGAGTGATGGAGCATGTCAGGAGACTCACGCAGACCGAGGTTGCACGAGGAGAGGTGCTTCAGGATGCGGTACAAAGGATAGGTGCTCTGGAACAGGAGAACAAAGGACTGAGGGACATGGTACGTGACCTCGTTACCAGCGCCGAGCAGGTAAGACAGTCTACCTCGAGACTCGAGCAGAGGATTACTGACCTAGAGGAGGGTCAGAGGGGTCAGGCCACGACAGGTCTGGTCGATGAGAGGAGGACTGAAGAGCAGCAGATTCCTATCATACAGGCACACGTCTCTCATGAGGTAGAGCCAGGTGGAGTGAGATTGGGTACCCCTCGGCGAGATTCGCAGACGGAGGAACCACACAGGGCTATGGGGATGACATGTGAGGAGGCTGCAGTCGTCGACAAGCTCATGCTTGAGCCAGACGAGATTGAGAGGAGGAGAGAGGAAGAGGCACGAGGTTTAGACTGGGTCCCTCCATCAGAGTTGGCAGTCAAGGAGGATGCATGCCGAGAGATGGATGGTGGACACGACGAGCTCGAGACGGTCTTAGAGTCACGAGATGTCATACCACAGCAGGACACGAGAGTGTCAACTGCGATACTGCCTACGACTTTACCATTTACACCAACGCCAACTTTGGGGCCGATGGACGATATAGTGCACCTCCTTTCATCTCGGATTGAGAGATGTGACGAGGAGGTGAAGATTGAGAGGGTCTCGAGGATGTTGAGCCCTGATACGGTGGATAGAGCCGTACAGGATGTGACGATCCGATTTGAGAGGGCAAGACCTCAGATCCTACCCAAGCCTAACAACAGAAAAATTGTCGCCGTTTTTTTTTTTTATTGATCGTGGGGCCTCACCCCCTTTCAACCATTTAAAAAATGTTTTTAAACTGTTTATCTTGGCACATGCACCATGCTCAACAGGAAGTGAAGGAAACCAACGTTTGTGACTTATGTAGTCCACATGAAGTGACAGGAGAAACAGTTGAACTTTGTGTTGGTAAACTGTTGAGAATCTGTTTACATTCTGTTGAACTTCGTTTGGAAGGTTGAACTATGTGTTGGTAAACTGTTGATCATCTGTTGATCAACAGTTTATCAACAGTTGGACACAGGACTTCATGTTGGATATCATGTTGGAATCGTGATGGAAATGTGATGGTAATGTGATGAATCGTGTTGGAAATGTGATGGTGTTATGTTTGGAATTATGGTGCTCACCTGTCGGATGGATACCGATTCATATTCATGCATGCATGCATCCATCGGAGCAGAGGGGAGCATTCGGGTGTGGAACGTCGTGACTCACTCATGGTCAAATATACCTA